CTTCTACTCTTCAATTTTCGTACATTGCAAGCATGTGACACAAGAGGAGAAGCAGAAAATACACGGCCCCTTGAAACATATGTAGAAGATGTGAGAAGAAGAGAGAGTGAAAGCAATGGTTGTGAGAACACAGATTTAACTCCATAGCTTTTAGAAGCAATGGTTGTGAGAACACATATTTTGAATTTGTTACTGCTTTCAAAATATGTATGATGTGGGCTAGGTTGAGTAAAACTTAAAAGTATGGGCCATTTTTAATTATGGTACGAAGTCATGCGTATTTTCTTGAAATTCTTTCTAATTTATAAAGGACTAAAAAATCAATTGACCACGTGCATTACTTCATAGTTCATGCTACATTTGAAATTGAGAGTCAGCTAACAATAGAGCATGGGGCTAGCCGATAGCATCCTAAAAACGACTATTTGCGGCTTTGTGCACCTGCACTTCGCCCCTTCATCTTTGAAAGCGTGAGCCATTTACAGACAGCGCAGTAGCAAAAGAAAAGAAGTAGAAACAATAGAATGCAAGCGAAATTGTGAAACTACGATGAAGGTTCAAACTTTCTTTTCCCATTGAATTTCAGTATCTTTTCAAGCTTTTTTCCTTTCATCATATTTTCTACCATGTCAGTTTTGCTTGTTTATTTCGATTAATTTGGGTAATTTTGAAGGAACAAATGTGGTAACAATTACTCCTTCTATCCCAAGTCTATAACAAACCATAGATATCCGTGTGGCTGCAATAAATCAAATCATTAAGAAAGATTTCTCAAGATAAACTGTTTTCAAATAAATAGAGGTGAAATTCTTGACCAAAAAGGAAAATGTCGCACATAAATTGGGACAGAGGGAGTACATGTTTATGGATTAGGAGTTTTGATTATATGGGAGTATGCTGAAACTTGTGTCACACAAGTTATGTGCGAATAGAGGTCACACGACCAGGCTCTTCCTACGCGCCCTAATCAATGGTTTTCATAGTGGACACTGGACAGGTAAAATGGGCTGACATGATGCTGATAATTTAAGAAAATCTTGATTTCTTTATGTTGTTGTACGTATATGCTTAAGCTTTGGGAGAGGGATAACTATATGTGCTTGCCTAGTTATCTTGTTTTGTGTAATCCAAATGGTTTATTTTTTTGTTAGAGCAAACAAATGCGGTATTCACGTATGAGTTTATGTATGAAGTCTTTCTAGTATTCTAAGGTGTAGATAGAGATGTAAAAGATCGGATCTTTAACTGCCTTACAAATAGTAGCATATGCAGGATTTTGCACAAATGTTGTGGACTTATAGTCACAATTCGGCTTTTAAGTGAATTAGATCTGGGACGGTTTTGTGTATGAAAGTTTTAATTTATGCATCGAGATAATATTGACGTTGCATTATTTTCAAGTAGCGTTGGCCTAAAAAAGGATATAGCATAGCTCGGTGCACAAAATATCTTACGTCAGTGTCTGGGGAATGGCCGCATCCAAGGAGTATAATGTAGACAGTCTACCCTAATACAAGCATTAGTGGTTGCTTCCACGGCTTGAATCCGTGACCTATAGGTCACACATAGACAAGTTTACCGTTTGCCTATTGTATGTATATGTATTGTTTCTTAGAAAAATATTATCCACGATATCCATGGTGCGGAGAATACGGTGACACTGGTTTAGAAAACCCTGTGCATCCTTAAAAACTCCGTCATTGAAAGTGGGAGGATCATACTTATTGAGCCTCTCAAGTCTCCTCTGCTCCTCCTCTGATGCCATTGGACTGACCACAGGTTGAATCGTGATAACGGACTGTATTCGTATAACACCTGGAACCTGATCAGTATGGGCTGGCACATGTAAAGAAAACTTTATATGAAGCGGTGTCGGATGACATGCCTTGTTAAGGTGTGTCTCTGCCACTGCTTACGAATGTTCCTTTGGTAAGGACTGGTGATATTTACATGAACAAATTGCCTTGCAATCAGGCTAAGCAATATGATCAGCTGTTAAGCATACCATGACTTGTTGGCTAAACTATGTCTTTAGGAATAACTTCAATGGTTACACGTAAATGCTTCAGTGAGTTAAGAGTTAATTAGCATGGTTTAGATTTTTAGTTGTTGTACATGATTTCCACCCTGTTTACTTATAGTTGTGTTTTCCATTTTTTTATGAGTATATTGTGAAGACCACCCGCTCACTTTTGTTTTGAGCATCTTTTAGCGAATAAGGGGCTAACAGGAAAAAGAAACAGAGGTTGCTTCTGGCTTATGTTCTTCATGTAGCATTCAGACCAAATGACTCTATGAAATTACGTCGATACTTTCACATCTATGAGTAACGTAGCAGATATCTCTATTTTTTCCTCGGCGAACCTTTAGAATTCCTACTGCTTAACTTTCAATTCGCCGCTGCCATCAAATGAAATGTGAATAACCCGTCCTCCTCTCTTTGAAAAAAGGGGCGCTTCCGGTTCTGTTAGTGTTTGAAACAATTTTATCTTCTCTATATTACTATGGCTCTACAGTCAATAATTTTATATGAGGAACTACTGAACTCAATCACTTGGTGTTGTTACTCTCCAATTTTCTGTTGAGGTCTATCCTGCAGAGGTACACAAATTGGATTAGTGAAATTCATTCTTGCTGCAGGAATAGCTCGAAATTCATGAACTTCATTTTTGTTTGGATGAATTTATTAATATTTTATTAATTACTCATTTATAAGAATGTAAAGCGACATGAAATTGAAACGACAGGACATCAAAGAATCCAAAGTATTATAGAATTTGAGTTGCCTTTAATTAGTGCGTATTAGTGTTCAACACGTTTGTACAAACTAGGCGTTAGAAACTAAAAATGATTAGTGGATTAGTTTAATAAAACAATTTAAGCAAATGAACCAAAACTGAGGGACTGTGTGTTTTGTGAGATGCTAATTAAAAAATGGAGAAAAATGTTATAATTGCACTTGCTATTATTGTTTGTCATTTTTCTCTTACATCAGACTAAAATGAAAGTCAATACTCCTTCATACCAAGGGTACATTTACAGAATTTCTTGAGCCTAACTAGTTTAATATGTTACAGAGATTGCGCGCAAGGAAAAGCAGAAGGTGGTGTAATATTGCGATTTGCAAGAAAGAAAGAATTAAGTAGCCTGCATGTTTATAATGTTTAATTTATACACATTTAGTGTAACTTAACTTATTATAACTGTCAACCTCAACCAATGCTTAACTTAACTTAATTCATTTATCATTTATTTTAGACGGTCAATCTCAACCAATGCTTATTATGTAGAGTTAGTGTTTTAAAAGGCGTTTTCGGGGCGAGATCTGGGGCGAGGCGCACCAAAAACGCCCTGAGGCGATGGTGCGGGGCGAAAGTCTCAATAGGCGTACGCACAACAGTTCAGGGCGTACTTCCGAGCATTCGGGGTGCGTTTTTCTAGTGAGGCGTAAGCCCAGAGACACTTTCAAATTAAAACAATGAATAAGTCCTTCATATAATATCCAAATTCTCAAAATTCAGCTTGGTAATTACTCAAAAGTTTTAAAAAGGAATTGAAATGTATTAAATTTACTCGATAATTACTCAAAAGTTTTAAAAAGGAATTGAAATGTATTAAATTTAAAAGTCAAGACCTTTTTTAATTGATTGAAGCCCTAATTCATGGTCATTTCCAATTCTTTATCTTATCCGCTAGTTTACTAATATCTCCCAAAAGCAACAAATACTCAGTTTTTTTTACAAATACAAAGAGAACTCCATTCTTCTTCATAGCAACAAGTTCAAAGTTCAAATTGCAGGTTAGTCATCTTTTTTGTTCCTCCATGTAGAAAATTTTATTCTTTTAGACTCAAGTTACTTGTGCTTATAAATAGCGTATAATAGGTTGTTTTGACTAGTTTTTATGAAATCTTACCTGTTTATAAATATTTACTGTAATTATTTATTTTATAAAATATTAAAAATTAAATACCTATGGAGCTTACGCCCCGTGCTTCGGGAAACGCCTCGCCTTACGCCCACGCCTTTAAAACACTGTGTAGAATTAAGCTGCAATTATATCTTTAGTAACCTAGCAGCATTTTTACCCCATATATATATATATATATATATATATATATATATATATATATATATGGAGTAAGAATAAAATGAAAAAATACGTACATAAAACGCCCAAAAAGGGAAGATGGAGAGAATTTAATATCCAACTTGCATACCTAATTAGAAGTCGAAAATTTTGAAGTGTTTGAGATGCGAATAACAGTTAATTAAGTTAGACTGCATGCCTCCCACGAGTTGACAAGATACATATCATGATCAGTTGATAGTAGAGGGTTACATGAAACATGATAGATAATATATCAGTTAATAGTATTGATTTTTTCATTTTATTTTATAAAGGTAGAGTTTGGGTCAACTTGCGCAATTCTTGACACTAAGTACTAATTACTATCGCTAGTAGAGATACCGAACAACTTTTAACAGTAATTGGAATTCATTTATCCTATCATATATTATAAGCACCTTATAATTAGAGGCGGACCCAAAATTTCAAGGTGGAGGGTGGACTTTTGGATTCAACCAAAATTTGCTTTGTATATGGGTGTTGACTACTAATATATTAATCACTATTTTCTAAAGACATATATATTTATGCACACATAAAATTTTTGCCGAACTTTACGGGTGCCGATGACCTTTCTCGATATAGCATAAGTCCACCTCTGCTTATAATTATCCTAACCATACCATATCTTATGCAATCACATAACTTTACAAGCTGGCAAGGACATTAGCCAACGAGGAGCTGTCTTACTTTTACCTATACATATTCTTCTTCATCTCAACCCTCCCCCCCCCCCCCCTCCTCCCAACCCTTCCGAAAAAAAAAAACACAATCCCACCAAAATCAATCTCTTTTACAATATATATATTCAAAGCAACTCCAGATCTAGAATCAAAGTGAGGGTTGGAAGAGCCACTGCCATTAATTCCAACTGCACCAAAATTAAGTCTTTATAACAACTAGTACAATAATAATATACAAATACAGTAACATGCATATACAGTAACATACAGTAACATCCTTAAGGACGGTCCTTATGCTGACAAATCTAAATAACAACAACAACAATAACCCAGTGAAATCCTAGAAGTGGGTCCGGAGACCGTAGTGTATACGCAGACCTTACCCTTATCCCGAGGAAGTACAGAGGTTGTTTCCGATAGACCTTCGGCTCAAGAAGACGAAAAGAGACAATATATCAGTACCAACAACAGAAACCATAAAAATAAGAAACATCATCGTAAGAACCAGAAAATAGATGCCGACGAGTTTAAACATAGTGACAAATTTAGAATATAGACGTTGTGGTTCTTGAGTTTAAAGAGCAAGGTTTCAAATATATATCTACTGTATTCATACTTATTTTTCGCACATATATACAAGATATAGAAGATCTAGATTCTACAGAACTCACAAACCCGTATTTAGATCCCTGACTGATTGATGGATTCCTTGTGCTAACTAATCAAATCAGTCAATTTCTTTTGCAGTCCAACTGCACTGACACTTGATATATCACTCACCTGCAACATCATTCATTTGATAGTAAATATTCCTATAATGATATACTTCATCCGTTTCAAATTAAATGAGGTAGTTTGATTCGGCACGGAGTTTAAAGAAGAAAAGAAAGACTTTTGAAATTTGTGATCTTAAAAGCTTAAGGGGTAAAACTTTGTGGGGCCATGACTTTTGTGTGGTTATAAAAGCTACTCATTAAGGGTAAAATGGGTAAAATGAGGAGTTTAAAGTTGAATTATTTCCAAATTTAGAAATGTGTCATTTATTTTGGAACAGACTAAAAAGGAAAGTACCTCATTTAATATGAAACGGAGGGAGTAATAATAAGCAGGTAAGGCAGCATGCCCCTCAATGTTTTCACTTATTAGATCTTTCAATATACATGTAGGGATTGCTCTTGATTAAAAAAAAAAAAGAGTTTATTTCTATACACTGATAATGTAAATATTCTTTTATACTATTTAGATCACCCGAAGGATAAGAGGTTAACATATATATTTCGATAATGTAAAGAAATTTTTACGCTATCAGATTATCCAATAGATATAGCAATGTAACCAACGCCATAAAAAGTGGGAGTTAGAATCTTGAAAGCAAGGCAAGTTACCTTCTACAGCAGATAAAGATGATCTAGTAGTGTAATTTTTTTTTAATATGCTATCGATATATATAAGATAAATTCAGATAATATTATATGCAATGCCCATAAAAAGTGAACTAATCACCTGGAGAATAGTATTTGCAGTGTTTGATTGGGCATGAAGTTTGAGAAATAAAAAAAAACCTTTGCATGAAGTAGTGTAAATTTTATATACTATCGATATATATATTAGTTAAATTCAGAGAATGATTATAAGTAACTGCCCACAAAAAGTGAACTAATCACCTGGAAAATAGTATTTGCAGTGTCCGATTGCGCATGAAGTTTGAGAAATAAAAAAGAAGACCATTGCATGAAGTAGTGTAAATTTTTTTTACATACCAACGATATATATAAGTTAAATTCAGAGAATAATTATAAGTAACAACCCATAACAAGTGAGCTAATCAACTATTTGCAGTGTCTGATGGCGCATGAAATTTGAGAAATAAAAAAAAAAGAAAAAAAAAGAGAACTTTGCGACATACTAAAATTACCCTTGAAATTTAAGGTCTTAAATATGTTATAATGTTTCTTAGGTGGTAAGAGCACCTTATAAAAGATGAAATACAAGTTTAAAACTATTTTATTTTATTTTATTTTATAAATATATAAAAGTTCCGTTATTTTCCTAAAAGGAAAGTGTGTCATATATATAAGATGCATGAGAAATTATATAAATGAAAAAACATGGATAAAAACCCTAAACCAATAATACTTGGATTACTCAATATGTGACATTTAATTTATCATACCTGACATTGAATCCTGATCAAAGTCCATTCATCTTGTTTGGAATTTACACAACTAACAACATTTAGCCCTTCTTGGAGTAGCCATCTTAGCACTTTTGACAAAGGAAACATTTCCTCTTTATGACTATTGGCATTAATCAAAATCTCCATACCATCTTGACATGTGTTTACTATCACAGAATTATTGTGCACATAACTTGTTGAAGAACTTCCATTTTCAGCACCCAAATTATCCAATGAATTCTTGATTTGTTTTCTTCTATTATCCAACTCTTTTGTATTCTTCTGAAGATGCCTTATATAATTCACAGCTATTTGCATGTGATCTGATGCTGAACGTTTACCCTAAATTTGCAATCAAAATTCACTCCATATTATTGTCTAGCCTTAATTAAAAGGTAATACAACATTATGCTTATACAGTTACAAAATACATCGTAGCTAAATATGAATTTTTTTGCAGCTAAACACTTTAGCCACACTAACTTTATTGGTAAGTTTGTAGAGATGGCTAGATAAAAATTAGTTACAAACTTAACATGTTCTATGGCTAATAGCCATGGAATTTTAATTTTTGTGTACTAAACCACATTCATTATATCCATACAGTGTATATGAATCACAAAAATATTGTAGTGAGGTAAATCTTCTTAAATCTATCTACTCAATAATACCTTCCAAAACAACAAAAAGAAAGATAGAGAAAGGCTATCTGCATGAAAAGAGGAAGGAAATATAGCGATAACTATGACTAAACTCTAACACAATATTTGGTTGATAATGAAAACAAAAATAGTATTTGAAGTTGAAGTTGAGAGATTGTATTTGAGAGCTGGTTTTGTACATAAATTTCGCTTGAAATACTCCTCAAACAGGTATTTCTGAGCAAATACTAATAAAACTCCTTTTCAACTTCAATATTTCACAAATAAAAACAAAAGACAGCCCAGTGCATTAAGATCCCGCTATGCGCAGGGTCCGGAAAAGTGCTGGATCACAAGGGTCTATTGTACGCAGCCTTACCCTACATTTCTGCAAGAGGCTGTTTCCATGACTCGAACTCGTGATCTCCTGGTCACATGGCAACAACTTTACCAATTACGCCAAGGCTCCGCTTCTTCAATATTTCACATAATGAAGTTAACATACACAAATATTGAAGTTCAGTATTTATATATACTAATGGACGAATGAGAATTTCTAATTGTACTGAAATATGAAGAGAGTAAAATGAAAGAATCATCACCTTGATAAACTCAAGGGGAAGAAGGGATCTAAGAGAAGTAAGAAGATTTGCCATTTCTTGCCTTCTATGCCTTTCAACATTTCTATGCACAACTTTCTTGGAATCTTCATTACCACTTATAGTACTTTCTTGCCTTCTAATAAGCCCCTTGTTAGTATTATCAAGATTACTTCTATTGACTGACGACGTAGTTGTTGGGACTGAGGCGTAGTTATTGTTGCTGTTAACCGAAGAAATTTCTTGAGGACCACATATGAGATCTTGATTAGGGATTTGGTCTTGTTGGCAAAATCCATTTAATTGGAAATTAGGAATCTGAAGTAGCTGGTGATGATGATCATGATCTTGTTCAATATTTTGTTTACTAGTGAAGATCTCCCAAAGATAATTATCCATTGAACTAAACCTATGGCTTTTCTTCTTTTGGGGTATTCTAATGGAAGATGATAAAGAACAAGATACGTTAGTTAGGGTTCTGAGATCTACACAATATCTTCATAAAAAAGAAGATAACAAAACACACTGACCTACGCTAACCACACTAATTGTTTATTCAAATTTTCTAATGGTTACTATTCTTATCTACGCTTCTAGTCCCACCATTTGCTTTCACACTTGCCTTTTAATTTAGTGCTTCATTTTTAATAGTTAATAATATATGCAATGATCGTGCAAAGGAATTTTATACTATAGTCATACTTTTCTATAACAGAAACCATGTATAACAGCCCCTCACAATAAAAGCTAAGTTTATCTTGAAACCGATCTTTTATATAATGTCATAATATATGTCCTCTATAACAGCACTTCACTATAGCATCCAAAAAATATCGAAACAAATACGGCTATTATAGACAGGTTTGATTGTATCAAGCAAGGGCGGAGCTAGAGGGGTGGAAGGGAGTCAGAACCCCTCGGTAAAAAAATTACAATGCATATCTCATTGCTATCACATTATTTAATGCATTACAAGTTGTGTTGGATTAGTAACCTGAAAAATAATACAGGTTGCCTGCTAGCTAGATTAAAATATATTGGTAGTGCACAAGCTATTTATAGTATTAGTGTATATGAATAAATTCCATTTTCAATTATTTGTTGAGAGATTGTCTTATTTTATTTGTTTATGTATTTTGGCTAGTCATTTCCACCTAAATCGGAAAAAACCTCCTCGTGGTCAAAGTCGTATCATGTTGGTTTTATTTTTTTGAATGATAAAAAGCTAACCGCTGTTCATACCTAGTCCACAAGATTAAATAGACCTTATTTGATTGTTTCTTTTTATTTTTTGAAACTTTCCCTTATTTTTTTGCTCAAGTAGAAATAATATACTAATAGAAATAGTTATTATAGGGTGAAATTCAAAAATAGCCAGATTTATAACTGGTCGTTCAAAAATAGCCCAGTTTCAAAAGTAATCGATATTTAGCCACTTTTCATGTAAAGATAAATTTGAGCGAAAACACTATTCAAAACTCGGAAAATACGCCAGCATATTATGTTGGAGTTCCAGCATAAGTATACTTGAACTCCAGCGTATTATACTGGAGTTCCAAGATAAGTATGCTGGAACTCCATCATATTATACTGGAGTTTGGAGCACCGGTGCTCCAGTCTCCAGTATATTATCCTGGAGCCAGCAAAGTATACCGGTCCAGCATAATATGCTGGAGTTCATACACAGGTGCACCGAACTCCAGTATATTATGCTGGACCGGTCTCTGCTGCAGCAAAATAGTGGCTATTTTTCATTGACTTAGTAAATGCTGATTATTTTTGAATGACCAGTCCGAAAACTGGCTATACCGTACTATTTTAACGTTATTATAAGTAAGTTGTGTGTCGGGTTTCATATGGCATTTAATATGAAAGTTTAGCTCTTTCAATAGCATATCCTTTCAAAAAATAAAAAACAACAAGATCAAATATTTTCTAGAAGATAACATTGCATGTGTGCTATTTCTTATTGTGTCACGCATACTTGGGACATGAGTTTGGTCATAATAGGATGAGATCAAATACATGGAGTTTGACAAACTTTTTCAGACATTTTGTTCCAAGTTAGAGAGTCATTTCATAAAATGGTGGGTATGCATTATCTCATATTTGGCCCTATTGCATGACAATCTTGTTCTCCATTCCTTTTTAGTCAGTGATATAAGCTTATGTCCTAACGTGTTCCCCAACTTCCCCATTGTGAAAATTTGGGTGATTTCTTTTTTAAATAATAGTGGCAGTATTATTTAAAACATTTTCGAAAACTCTTTTCCAACCTACCCCATACTCTATCCCCACCAACTCCCCACCAACCCACCTCCACCCCACCCTGACTCCACCCCTTCTCGCCCCGCCCTGCCCCTCCCTAAGTAGAAATGTTATTAATAGTACTTCTTTTCATGTTATAGATAGATTATTTTTGTTCATTTCAACAAATGAGTATTTACTTTTCACGATATAAAAAAATATTTTTTTTTTAAAAAAAGTACTTTCTTTTCATGATGTAGAAAAAATATTTTCTTTCATTTCAACAAAATGATGTAGTAAAACTATTTTCTTTTATTTCAACAAAAAGAGTATTTTCTTTTCATGATGTAGAAAAAGTATTTTATTTTGTTTTAACAAAATGAGTACTTTATTTTCATGTTGTACAAATAGTACTTTCTTTTCAACAAAAAAAAGAGAGTATTTTTTTCAGTTATGGAGAACAAATTTCAATGTTGTTTTTGCGTAAAAAAGTAAAGCAACACATTACTTCCTTAAAAAATTATTTTTCTAAAAAATATTTTCTACTTTCTAACCAAACACTAAAAAATATTTTTCGAAAAAAAGGTTTTCACTCACCAACCAAACAAGGGAAAATAAGTGATAAAGCCACTAATTTTCCATGAAAATATTTTCCAGAAAAATATTTTTCATGAAAAATATTTTCCTTCGTACCAAACACACCCTTAAATTTGATTATATGGATATAATTTTCTTACTAGCCCTAAAACAGACCACCGATCGTTAAAAGGTATATCAATCACAATATATTTTTTTTTTCTAAAGAAAAATAGATAAACGTTTAAGTTGATCCAAAAGCAAACGATCCTCTAATTGTGTTGGCCCAAGTAAATGTGAAGTTTTGAAGACTGACAAAAGAACTCAGACATGGACCAGGTCCATCTTGTGAAGCACAGTCATGATCAACCCAAACATGTAAGATGCACGTGAAGGAGATAAATCTAACTTATCAGAAGTAATATCTCATGATCTGATCGAAAATGTTGCATATTGGATAAGGAGAGAAAGACTCCTTACACGAAGAGAACACAGTTTAGGAAGAGGATAATGTTAGAATATGAGATCAACTAGAACTCTTCTACCATAGAAGAGTAGCGTCTGTATCCCAATCAATCTCTAATTACTAACTCCTTAAATATCAGTGTTGTTTTCTTTTACCGTAATGCACATAAGCAGAAGTTAAACGTGAATTGAAAGCAAAATAGCAAGGCAATTTTGCAAGCAATTTATGTGTGATTCAAGCGTGCAATCCTGAAGCTACTTGAACCAGATAAAAGAACCAGTTCCAAGTGTCTATCTTTTATTGTAGTTCAATTGTAGTAGGTGATTTTACATTGTACCTTTCAGCTTTTATAGAAGCAATTGTATTAGGTTGTGACGACCCAAAGGGTTATCACCTGTATTCCTACTCGCTCTATATTTCTAAGGCCGTGAAAACCTCACTTGGGGGTTGCCTCGAGTCTGTGTGCGCAGTCCAGACGCGTAGCCGGAACGTTTAAATATGAATTTGTGAGAAAAATAATAAATTCTGATGTTTAGTTGATTAAGTTTGACTTCGGTCAATGTTTTGGGCAAACAGACCCGGACTCGTGATTCGATAGTCCCGGAGGGTCCGTAGGAAAATATGAGACTTGGGGGTGTGCCCGGAATCAAATTCCGAGGTCCTGAGTCCGAGGAATGAATTTTTACGTGAAATTGTTTTCTGACAAATAATTAAAGAATTGGAAAGTGTTATTTGTTTAGAAGACCATGCTGTGGGGGTCGTATTTTGGTTCCGACGCCCGACACAAGTCTTAAATATGAGTTAAGCAATTGCTGTGAAGTTTGGTTAGATTTGGACGTCATTTGACGTGTTTTGAGCTAGAAGCAGTAAATTTGATGTTCATGGAAATTGGAAGGAATCATGGGTCTTGAGGCCTAATTCGATGTTGTTTTGGCGATTTGATCGCACGGATGAGTCCGTAGGATGTTTTTGAGTTTATATGTATGTTCGGTTTGGAGCCCCGAGGGTTCGGGTGAGTTTTGAGTAGGTCCCGGGAGGTCTTAGGCTTAAAAATAGCAGATGGCTGCAGGTTCAGGGGTTGCAGGTCCCCAGCGTGGCCGCGGTCATTTCCGCGCGGTTATTGGGGTTATGGGCTTTGGCTTCATATTTGGGCCTTAAAATTGGACTAAAGAAAAAATATCCAAACCTTAGCTAAATACCTTTTAATATAAGATAAATATACTATATAATACAAAAATTAATCTAACTAATTAAACTAAATTATATATAAAATATGAAACTATTTTTGGTATTTTCAAAGATTATATTAAAATAAAAATAGGTTAGAAGTAATATATCTTTCTAAAATACCTAATACGTGAATTAAATAGAGAAATATGGAGCTATTTTTGTAATTTTCAATTTTTGTTCTTAAAATAAAGTAAAAGAGTCAAAACTAGTTAAAACAATGATACTAGACCTAAACTAAATATTTAAATGCTAAAATATGTAAAATCTTGGGGAGGGTAAAAAATTACATGTCTACAGCACACAGCATCAACTGTTGCGACAACTTCAAGTTAACTCTAACTTGAACACTCTAAGTACCTATGTCACGACCCGGATTTCCCACCCTCGAGGGTCGTGATGGCGCCTACTAATAGGATCTAGGCAAGCCAACTTAATTAACAAAATCATTAAACACATGTTCCTTTTTAACAATTAACGGCATTAAATAAAGGTGACGGGATTAAAATCATAAGCGGAAGACTTAAATGTAGATAAATGATCGATAATACAAAAGTTCCAACACATATATCTCTACCCCGGGACTGGAGTCACAAACTCACGAACATCTAAGGAGTACTACATACAAAGTCTGAAAGAAACATAATCTGTTTATCTCGGGTACAATGAGATGACAGCCAAATGTAAGGATAGAAGGGAGACGCCGGGCCTGCGGACGCCTGCAAGCTACCTCGGGCCTCTCTGGACTGAAGGTTCGCCCCCGTGCTAATGCTGTTGCTGCTGCTGCTCAATACCTGGACTTGTGCAAAAATGCACAGAGTGTAGCATCAGCACAACCGACCCCATGTGTTGGTAAGTGCCTAGCCTAACCCCGGCGAAGTAGTGACGAGGCTAGACTGGACCTCACATAAACCTGTACAATTATAAATATACAGCAGAAATCAAAGTACAAGGCAACTAACAGTATGGGAGGGGAAA